TCTGGAAGATCTTAGAAAGATTCAAATATAAATTCTATTTAGGGCAGTCTTGCCTTTAGATTTTAAAATTCTCCAAAAGATGTGATATTTTGAACTTTGAAACTGTGATAGATATGTGTGTCACTGGACTTAAGTGAGAAAAACTGGCATAAGTAGTTAAACCATACAATTTCTTACAACCCCCTTAGTGTTCATGATAACTTTAAAATATGAAGTACACATTTAGAAATATGAAGAAAATAAGGTATACAATTTAAACCACAATACAATTACATATTCACACTAAGCATAACTATGTCATGCTTTGAAATCAGTATTTTATGTTTTACTTTTGTTACTTTTAGTATATGCAGTCATATTAATTAATTCTAGTTAAATTCCTGAAAGATTCTTTAACTGTATTAATTCTTGAAATATAAAACTTAAATATAATTGACCAAAAATCACGTTTGCTAATTGTTGTTTGATTTATGTGTAATAACAAAAAATCACAAAACGAAAAATTAAATATCATAAATCTACACATAATTTATTTAGCTAAATATCTAGGTATTACAAATCACTGGCTATAGTGGAATTTTGGAAATGATTCATATGAAGGAAAAAACCAACCTAAGAAATAAAGTTAGAATCGGAAAAAATTTCTCTGCAGTATTCATATTTCCTTAAGCTAGTAGTAACTGAATGTCATTATCAAAATTTGGTGGGCTAGTGGTTTACATGGAATGGTTTTGTGGTCTCAGTTATTTTCCTACTTGCTAAAATCTATACTGTATGAATTATTATTTCAAAGGTCAATCTGGTTGGCAGCTTTAAGCAGAGAAGCCACAAATTGGAGACTTTCACTAGCCCTATCTGGTCTGACCAGAGTTAGATCACAGGATGTGTGACTGAGTGTTTTATTTTATTATTTTGTCAGGACATACTTGTTGAATGGATGAACAAGAAGTCCTGTTTTCACTGTGTTTAAACTCAAGATTTCAGAAACAAAATATAACATTTAAATTTAACAGAATTTGTGGAGAAAATGCCATGTTAAGTTAGAGACCTGCTACCAAATATGCAGTGACTGCATTTGAAAAAAACGCATTGCAAGGAATTTATAATTTCTCTGTTGTGTGCATTTTAAGTTATTCTTTTGCTCCCCTACCTTTCCTAGACATGTTGCATTTTAAATGCGAGGATATATTCAGTATAAGACCTATTCCATCCTATCTATACTACTATGTGAATACTTGAGATGTCTATGAAAACTTTCGAAGAGACTCAAAAGATCATGCCTACTCTACCTTATAATTTCTCTTCAATCTATAAGATGAATGCCATTTTAATATAATAATTTTATTTATAAAGAATTTTATTGTCAGTCACAATCTATAGATTGCTGTAAGATTAATCAATCATAAAAATATTTACATTTAGCATAAAGTTATATCATATATATATCACATACATGTATATATATAAAACACTACTTTGGAAGAAGCAAAGAATAATTCTAAAAGGACATCAACAAGTTTAATTAGTAAATGATTATTCTTATTAATTAATTTTTAAAGTAATCATAACATATTGAGCAAAAGAAAAAGACAAAAACTTACAAATTTTACTTTAGAATTTTAAAATAAACATTATTTTCTATATCAGAAGATGTGAATGAGAATATCTGACTAATCTGATAACCTCATTATTACAATAATTAAACAACTTGACTTTGAGGGGAAAAAAAGAAAGCCTTTAGAATGCCTTCCACTTATATAAGTGTTATTTACTAAGAATGTCCTCCCTATGAAGGTAAGGGTAAAGGCATTTATTTAACCTTTGGATTCACATGATCACATCGAGAATTGCATGTGTCTTTGATTTCTACTAAAAACCGAAGCACATAATGTCGTGGAAAGCTCATTATGTTGAGTGATGGAACATTTGTCATTTGTTTAAAACTCAAAACCTAATGTATTTCTTTGTGATTTCCACAGATTTTTCTGAAGACTTCATTATACCATACATTCCAAATGAAAGATTATATGATTTTCTGTTATTTCATGAGAAAGGTAGAACTTGGCTAGTTTTATAGGAGAAATGAACAGTCATGCACCACTTTTAAAAAGAAGTATGTTAACATTTAGCTGTATTACATACATTTAAGGAAGGCAAAAGTGTCTCTGAGTGAATGTTTCTTTAGGATAATTTGTATGTGACTGCTGAGATTTGCAGAGTTCTCACATTTGCTTCCCCCACAAGGATTCTAAATCAGCCTGGTTCAGAGGGAAAGCCAGCAAACCCATTTTTCTAATATTATCATTTCTCCAGATGGTCCTGAAAACATGTATTCAAACCCTTTTTCCTAGAAAGTGAAGAGGTACCTTATTAGATATGTATGTATCTCCACTACAAAGGCTGCTTTCTTGTCTTCTTTTTCTTTCTCAATAACATATCAAATCTTTTTCATCTCCTACTAGGCAAGATGACAAGTGGAGAGTAAGTCACAGTGATTGCCTGAAACTTCATCTTGGCAACCTGAGCAATGAGAGGGTTAATGGTGGATCTTTGAAAACAAGTGACCATGGGAAATTAGGGTTGGCAGGGATTTAACTCTTCACAAATCCTGCTGGAATATTTTTAAGGGCAATGCAGTGGAAGTTTTAACTACGTTTGACATCTAGTTAGAGAAGAATCGAAATAGCTTTAAAAAAAATCTCTATTATAGTTAAGAAACAAAGTACTGACAATTCAGCTACCGGGTGTTTGATTTGGCAAAACAGGTGTACATCTAAGACACAAAAGGTAATGATAGACCAATAAAATGACAGAAGAAAACTTGCTTGACCCATTGTTTTTATTCTTCTTGCTACTGTTCATTTCACAGTTTGTTTTACCCAATTCCCAAGCTCTAAGTCTACCAATAGAATTGCTATGTAGCTCTAGGGAAGTTTTTAACTTAAAGGCAAATGGAATGATTCTAATGGATGCCATTGCTAAAAAAGGTTTATGAAGACAGTGTTAAATATATATATATATATATCTTGTCAATACATACAGTTTGCTTCATCAGATAACTTTCAAGCCATGTATATATAACAAAGGGATAGTCTAACTAAATGGCATCTTTTTCATACATAGAACGAATCAATGTCTCTATAATGGAGAGCAACCTATTACAATGAAAATAATTTTTCTTGCAAAAGTAAAGTGGCATGATTCTCAAATTTTACTTTATTTTATTATTTATTTAGCACTTAGACAAATATCCGCAAACCTTATAGTTTTTTTTGAGTGTGTATTTCATGATCTCAAGCTTCTTATTCTAAAATTTTACCATATAGTCATTCACGTCTTCAAGAACAAAAGTTGCATATAAAACTTACTCATAAAGGATATAAACTTGGATACAGTGAACCACCAACCCAAGAATTATGTGATGGCACCCTTTCAAGGAGTGAAAATAGGAAGCAAATACTGATGAAAACACAGATGCCATATTATCATATACTATGGAAATAATTTAAAGATGGTTACTAAACATAAATGTAAATATAGATTTAATTAAATATTTAATGAATCCTATATGATTATTTTAATCATCTTGTATTAATGAGTAAAATTGTCATTCTGCTTACTGCTGTATAAAATCTATTCTCAATTTAATACCCAAGAAGATATTATACCAAGAAATACATATACTTTCCAATTCAATGTATTTTTACCTAACAAGTATTAAGTCCAAAAAAACACATTTAATAGGTGTTTAATTTTCTAATTGAAGGTGTGAAAATTACATCTCTCTTCCCTATTTGAGTTTCTCATTCACACTAGAGCATTCAGAAAGAGATGTTCCTCATTATGTGAAAATTAAATAAAATATTTTCTGGCATAAGAGAAATGTACAGTAGACATCTCTACAGAAAGATTCAGTAGTTTTCTTTCATATTATAGGCTAAAGATGGAACATAATTGGAAGCTTCCCACTGTCCCACCCCCAATTCTAGAAATCTGAGAATCATAAGAAATCAACACCTTAGGGAGTAAAACTACTTGAGTTAAAACAGTTTAATCTTCAACTCCATTTTGATAAATAGTCTCTGCCTTTGAAAGTTGCATGCGTCCTTTTGGAATGTATATTAGCATTACTTTACACATATATCTATAAAACCTATCTAAAGAAATGTAGAACAAATATTTTCTTTAAAATTCTCATTAAAAAGCAAGTACATTAAAGTTTAACCAAACAAAGTATAGCAAGTATATGATAAAGCTTTTTTTTCTTTCTTTCTTGAATTTATACTTTTTTAAAGGGAACTTCACACCACCAGCTGTGCAACTAGAGAGTGATATCTCTTCAATTCTCACTGTAGTACATATGGAATTAAATAACATTTTATTTCAAAGGCTTTAGCTTTACCCCAATTAGCCAAATATACTGTCTTTTGTATAATCATAACACACTGTAGAAAACTAGTCTGTTCTCTCCAGTTTATATTCTCTTGGCAAACCATGATCTACTGCTTATGTTAAGCATCTGATTGTCAGATTAGAACAAACTGAATATTCATGATGATGATTAACCATTTAATGTCTAAAACTAAGAAAATACAATTTATCACAATAATTATTATAGGTGAGATATGCACATCTACAAAGAGACCATTTTTACGTCAGTGTTTTTAAAAAATATTTTAATAGCAGTAAAGTCAGGTAAATTAACAGAACATAAGATACGATCACATATACGGATCACCATGTACCAGGCATGCAGTTCTTTGCAAATGTGATTAAACGTTCTTTGTTTGCATTTAAATTGTCAGATATCAAACACGAGGCATGCTTTTATAAAAAAGTGTTTAAATCATCTCAGAAAGACACTCGTAATCACACAGGTTTCCCAGGTTAAACTAAAGGTTTGACGGTTTGGGTTGGGGAGGGAGTTCAAGGAATGAAATAGGGATGGGGGGAAGATTAGAAAGCTAGCCAAATAAATGAAAAAGAAAACAAAGATTTACCTTTATAGGATAATTTCAGCCTTGGCACATTGTTCTTCCCGTTTTGATAGTTTGCTCTGGCTGTAAGTAATACTCCCCAGAAAAGACAGACAATCCTAGTGAACCAGCCCATGCTGCAGACGCTGTGGGTCCCTATGCCGCTTCAGTCTTTCCTCCGGTATTGTGCCGCCAGAGAAGTTCAAACAATCTGGAAACTGGAGGTAACAGGTGATTTAGGTCAGTTTCATTCATAAATGCAGACAGTCAAGACCTCATGGCAACACTAACACCTCTTCTTCTGTAACAGTCACTGAAGCACGGAAACTTCAAACCCTCCAAAAAAAAAAAAAAAAAAAAAATCGAGCCAGGAACCGGATAATGAGGCACAACTGTTGTGTGGAAAGGGGGAAAAAAAAAATTAACAAGGGCTGCTGCAGTGGTGCTTAAGAAGCAGTTCCTTTTATCTACGTTCCTCTGATAGCCGGTGGCAGACTCTAATCCTGCTCTCTGCTTCATTCGGCTCCGGGGAAGCGAATGAAAGGGAAACAGAGAAAGAGAGAGAGAGAGAGAGAGCAACCGTGAGCAGCGCGGACTTTTCCTGTACACATATAGGGAGAGATGACACAAGATCCCACAGACAGGTTTTCCCAACACTCACTAGACTGGCTGACAATGGGAGAACAGGCGAGCTCAACCCACTCCCCTTCCCTCCTGTCACACAACACATGCAAAAAGCATCTCGCGGAGATTAGAGCCGGGAGCAGAACCCTCCAGCGTGCTTGTGAAAGGCATGTAGCTATAAATTTACTTCCCAAGGCAAGCGTTGTTTTATAGCCATTTTTGGGTGCAATTTTGATTAAAAAAATCTGAGTCCAGCTACCTACATAATTTACAATTCATGCTTTTTATATAATCCTATTGAAACTGTGCATTATAGATGTGTGTGTGTATCCTTTTCATCAATATAACTTTAACCATTCAAGGTTTTAAAGCCTTGTGAGAGATCATTCCCTCCTCCCAACAAACCCCTCCTCTCAACTGCCCCTTCCCCCCTCCCCCCGCAGCAATTTCAGTAGAGAAATTCCTAGTAAAGCCCATTTCAACAATCACTTCAAGACAAATATAGGTCCACCGAGAATTATAAATTACAACAGGGGATTCTCAAAAGGATACTCAGAATTTAAAAACATCTATGGTTTTCCAGCTTCTGGAACGCTCTGGTTAACATTTTTAATGCATCACATCTCATTAATTAAAGCCACTTCCCTAGTTTTGGTTTAGAGGGCAGAGGAAGATTACGAAGTTCACAAAAGTCCCTGCTGAGTGTCAAGGACCAATGGAAAAAGACTGTCTTCATGAGCTAGTGAAGGGTTACTAAATTATCTGTGGGACACATACACAAGTATTTGGGCAGTCCTACAAACACCATTAGTTATTCTTTCCTAAACTGGCAAGTTGTATGAGATGTTTAAATTTCCTCTTACATTTTTCTTTCAATTTTCCCCAAAGCTGATATCCTTATAGTATGGGGGCGGGGGGAGGGGGAGGTATAGAGGTTGACAGAAAACAACTCTTTCCCTTCTTTACTCCCCAACTCTCCCCCGCCAACCCCCGAATTCTACTTCAATAATAATGAAACTTTTTTGGGTGAGAGAAGTAAGTTAGTCTCTCAATTAAAAACATAAACACTTACTGAAAGGGCTTAGTATTCTTATAAAGAATGATTTAAGCATTGCCACTACAACTTTCATTACTTAATGTCTACAGACCAATAGAGAAAGAGCAAACAGAGAAAGAGCAGCTCTCTCATTCTCTCTCTCTTTTTCTCAGTGTGTGTTTGTGTGAGTGTAGGTGGAGGAGGAGGAAGGGGACAAGAGGATTTTAAGTGGGGAGAATGGGGGAAGGGGTGGAGGGATTCTTTCTCTACTTCACTAGATTGACTCATCAAACTGACTGTGTTGTATTTGTCAGTTTCCGCAAGCCTATTGACCAGTCAGTATTGTTAAGAAAATAAAATCCAGAAATAACATTGATTTTAGTGATTCCCACATTTGTTATCCTGAGCACTTTCATGCCCTAGGCAATGGATTAAGGCTACAAATGACAAGAGGCTTGTCTGTCTTCCATGGATTACTCTCTATAGACATTCATTCTGCAGAGGAATTCAAGTCACTTTGGGATTATTTAGAGGATTGGATTAATGAATTATCCTATTGAAATATCACATACAATTAGTTTAAAACCTTTAAACAGTTCCAGCATTTTTATCAATATATAGTTTAAAATACCTTTTTTGGAAATGATTTCTAAGTCTAGTTCTTGTTACCTAGCGGAGGAGAGCAGGTTTATATTTGTCAAAATTAAACAGGATAAACAATTTAGAAATGTGTCCGTTTCACTTCTGTCATGTCTAGTCCTGAATCATTTTGATGTGTTCCAGGAAAAATAAAAGGTTCTAAGTAAAATTCAAATAAAAGAGGGTCAGAATTGGCTCAATGGGGAAGAAAGACATTCAATCTGGATTTTGAACCACAAAATCAAGACTGCATTGTTTTATTTTGTAAAATAAATAATTTAAATTAATGTTGATACCTGGAATTTGGTAGCACAGGCACCCCATATTCATGTATACACACATATAATTTTTAAAGAACTTGGATATATTTATTTATATTTGATTTTTTTCTTACCCTTCAAGTATTTTATGATCTTTGTGTCTTTTAAGATGTTTGAAAGTTTCTAGGTTCACATTTATATTGGCTTTTCTATAGATGTTTTTAAATTTTTATTTTAAGAAATGTGAGAATAGTAAATTCTTAAGTATAATGGTCCTAGGCTAATTACATTATAAAATATTAGAATTCCAGCCACAACTATGATTACAAAAAAAAAGGAATTACATGCCTGAAAAATCCATAAAAATATAATTGAAATCTTATATTTCTACTGCTTTTCTTAAGCGACTTTGTCAAAGTCAAATGAACACAGATCAGTTGTTTTCAACATTTTTTTCTTTTTACAACCCCAGACACACCTAAGGGATAACCAAAGTTAAACTCCCTCACTCACTTCAGTTTCTCAACTGATACACCAGCAGGGTATTGTGGGGGTGAATGTGGGTGGGTGTTTAGCAGAAACTATCAGAATCTGGTTGCATGTATGAATCTGGTTACATGGGATTTTGACCCACCCCTCCAAGAAACATCACTTCTGAGAATCCCTGGCCTAAGCCCAAACATGATTCAGTCTGCTGTATTTGCCACCTTAACTACTGATATTACCACATCATTTAGTACCTTTTAAAAGTCAAAAGTATTGTATTATCCTTTAAGCAACGAACTGTACTTAAGGTCAAAGGGAAATAGTCTTAGTTTGTTTGTTCCTCAAAGTAGTCTATTTTCAATTATTTTTTCTAACCTACAGTCTACATCATGTGGTATTAATTATAATACTATTTACTACTGTGTTCCTAATATCTTCCTAAATTTCAAGTTTTGAGATGTGATTAAAGCCAACCACAGTGTCAAATTTGAGCAGGTGCTTAATTTGATGATCATGTTGTTGTATACATTCCTGTCAAATAAATCAGTAGTTTTTAACCTCACCCAACTCCATATTGAGATGGATTCCAAAGACTTTGAAGTATAAAACTCTAAGAGTGGCAGTTTTCTGGGTGGTGTGCTTGATTTTCTAGAGAAACAGCTTTTCCAGCTTCCTAACAGGTTGGTTAACACTTGTTTTTTCACAAAGGCCCACACAGCCATAAAAGATACATATTAAAGTATTTATCCATTGAAAATGTTCTGTTTTTTCAATTCTTCGTGTATTGAATGAAACCAATGTGTGTATGTGTGTGTGTCCACTCCCTAGATTATTTTGTTTTTATTATGAGACAAATTTGGATTGCAATAAAGGTTGCAATTTAAAAGCAGAGATTGTTGTTGTGATTTGTGATATGGTATTGCAAATACTTCCCCAGATCATACCCAAACAAAACCCATTGCCATCCGTCAATTCCAACTCAAAGCAACCCTGTAGGATAGAGTCGAACTTCCCCACAGGGTTTCCAAGGCTGTAAATACTTACAGAAGCAGACTGCCACAGTCTTTCTCCCACGGAGAGGCTAGTGGGTTCAAACTGCAGACCTTTCGGTTAGCAGCCAAGTGCTTAATCACTGTGCCACCAGGGCTCCCTCCCCCAGGTTATAGATACCTTGAAATTTTCTGTGATTAGTACATGAAAATGCTTTCTGTATTTGTGCATAAAAGAATATAAGAAGAAAGTATGGTTTAGGTGTATTCAAAAGATATAGTGGATAAAATGTGCTTAAAGTGATGGTGCACTTGATTTAACACACTCGCCTCTCCTGTAATTGTTCCACACCCATGTTGTATTGTGGTTAAAAAGAGGAACTCCCCCAGAGTGTGAGCCTTCCACAGAAGTAGGTGACCTCCTTAAGAGAAATCGCTTAGTTTGGAATTTGAAAATGAGTGGGAAACAACTCTAAGAAGGATACCAATACGAAAAACAAACAAACCAGTAGTCTTCTCAAGGGGTTTTTCAACTGAGTCATGTAAAAACATACATAGTTTCCATGCAGAATCTGCTATTTCCTGTTATTTCTTTTTCTTCAAGGGAATGCTTCATTAGTATATGAGAAAGGCCTGTGATCAAGAGAATTATAGCAAATGTCATAGTCGAACGTTTGCCCTTGCTCTGACTTCTCATGTTGAAAATTCATTTTTAATGAGGGTTTTTCTGGTAGAGGGAATTTAAAGCTTCTTTTTTTCTAAAAAAGAATTGTGTGGGTGAAAAAATTCTTTAGAAGATCAGAAGACGTCCTATTAATTGGGAAAAATTAATAGTTGATGTATTTTTTTTTCTCTAGCCAAAAATGACAGTTATTTAAGAACGACTGTGGTAGTCTCTGGAGGCTGGGGGTGGCAGGTTAAAAGCAATGTATAAGAAATTAAGCTAAACTTTTTATAATCTGACTCTTATAAATGCTTTTAGCATAAGCAACGCGTGAAAGCCGGAGTTGAGAAGAAGAATCAGTAACAATGAGTAAAATGCAAAGGGAATTCAATCTCTAGGACAGAATTAACTCTTCCAGAACCTCCCACCTTACCCCCCATAAATAGAATTTCAGTAAAACAAGCTCCTCCCTCCTCTGAACTGAACTTGTAACAGTTTGGAAGCAAAAAAACAAGTTTTCTGCTTTCTCTTGTAACATCAATGTTCATGATAATTTAAGGTGACTAGAGACTCTGAAGACGAAGACGCTGTTTTTCAAATGAATTGAAATGATAAATGTTAAAGCAATGCAGAAGGAGACCAGAACCAGGTGAAAAAGTTACATGTTTGTGGCTGTACAATTTAAGGAAAATCTAAACAATTTAGGCTATTAGAAATTACAGGGAAAAAGTCCTTTCATTGGTGAGGTGGGTGATTGCTTTCCTTGAGATTTTGATTTGTGGGGCTAGTAGGTTGAGTTTGATTACATTAATAAATTTGAGTGAGGGATGGGGGACAGCAAC